AACAGCCTAATATAGACTCGTTTTTGAGACTTGGTATTCTGATACCGAAACCTGCAATTTTAGCTCAGTTCCTTCAAGCCAATCTCTGTTCAAACTAACGAAGGCTTTCAACCCATTTTTGAAACCATCCATACAAAGTGTTAAACTTCTGTTCACAGTATAGCTTGAGTTAAAGATGGTATATAAATCATCATTGTGTAGCAGAGACCTCGGGGGCAATTTCAAACCAAACAAGGTGTTTATGCCATAATAAATCATGACAATTAAAAAAAAAGTATCAGTGTGGTTTGTTTCCTTAAAGGTCTTAGAGGCAACCTTCTGTGTAGGGGTGAAAACAAAACGTCCGACTAGAAACACTGTCTGTATACGGGAGACCCCTGTGAAGGTGTGCGGAGTTTGCCCCCGCAGACAAAAAATCCTAGGTACGGCCCTGAGCTGTACTCCGTAAAGGATCTTTTGAATCCTCAAAGAACTTTGATCAAGGCCGAATTTTAAACTAGATCTTTTTAGCTTAATAATATCGCTACTTGTTACGTGTTTAACCTTTGTAAACTTATTTTGCAGATATTAATACGTTTTTGCCTGCTGCGACGTTTACTGTTAACGAGTCTAACCTGTTTAGGGTGTGTTCTTGAAAACTTTCGACAGCTGAAGATTTTTTGTCTACTGTTTCACACTTACCAAACAACAAAATCATTTTAGATCAGATGGACCTATAGAGACTGAAACACGGTTTAAAAAAATGCGACGAAAACGACGAAGCCGCAATAACCTCGATCAACTGTCAAAAATCTGTCTTAAGTTTTGAAAACGACTAAGTAAGCGTAATAGAAAGCTTTCAGAAAGCTTTAGCAGAAATTGATATTCTTACTATTTCATTTTATAACACCGTAAGACGATAGTCTAAACAGGGGAAAAAGCCAACCGTAAAACCCATTTTAATTTGGCAAATTGCACACTCCTTGAGTCAGAAAGTTAAAAAAAAACCTAGGTAATTAACTTTGAGAAATTAGACGTCCAAATGTTTCAAAACTGGTGCTATCCCGGATGCATTTTGGACTTTTTAAATTTAAGCCTGACAGGAATCGATTATTTTTCAACGGGTGTTCATTATGGCGGGTCGTTGTTCTCTTGGGTTGGGGCTCTTACTGGTTTGTGGTTTTTGGGGCGCTTGGCTGAGCCATATCACAAACGCTTAAGTAGGTAAGGCGAAAACTAACAACAAAGGTAGACATTACAAATATCGTCAGTGTTGAATCCTTAATATGTATACATTTTTTCAATTAAACTAGTCGGTCACCTACTCGCTGACCCTCAGCCCGAGCGAGTCATATGCCACCTGCATTGTTGTAACTGTATGTAAGCATTGTTATTTTTTTCGCAATCGTGGCATACTTTCCCATTTTTGTAAGAATCGGACGCGATGCTCGGCAACTCGGGTAATTAGCGCACATTGCATGATAAAGATGACTTAAACCCAATTGAATTGCTGTTTTATCGATGTTTGGAGTTTCCCATCTGAGTCTAATTCCTGGCTTCAGTTGCATGCCGGGAAACTGAGGCGAAAACTAAATCTGGAGCTTCAAGCACTTATTCAAAAAAATGTGTAATGCTTTATTATCCGAGTGTTTTCCGCTCGTGGGTATCATATGCTGACTATTGCATTAATATGCTTCTCTTCAATTAGATTTTATTTTGGTTTTTGGACTCACCTGCATGGTTTAGAGCAACAACCTTTAACATGATGAACGCATGAATTCTTTTATATAATCTTAGGACGCTAAAAGTAACTTTAATTTTTACAGTTTATGCTTAGATGTTTTTCATGTTTAAATATATTTGAACGTCTATTTGCCTAATTTTTTCTAGCCTTCGTAGCAAGCGTTTTCCGTGCCAGTTCGTCGAGAAAAGTTGGGACGAGAGCAAAAAAAAGGGAATGACGGGGGAGCAGTCATCTTTGTTTACTCTCTTGCGCGCGGCAAGAAGACTGAACACTAAAGATTCAAACAGCCAATCAGGCAAAAGTCGCCTTTGTTCTTTTATATCCATTCTTCATCAGCCAAGGGTTCATCGGCATATGCAACGTTTCAGGGCGGAAAAACGTTCTGCGCAAGCTTCTGCGCATCCTTTATCGTAGGCTCAAGGCGGGCTTTTCTGTGTGTTGACTGCGTTTGTTTGTTGCTGGAGTTCTGAGTGAAATGCACGAGGTGCGAACGTTTGCTCACTGTAAAACATTTTTGTTTGACATGTTTGCTTTTTTTTCGTCGCTTGAAAATTACTTTGGATTCAGAACAACCAATGTTAAAGGAAAAACGGATCATTCCGTCAGTCTGAGGTGGAATAAAGGGTTTTGAACATTTCTTAAGAGGCGAGTATCTTTCTGATTGTGCATCCGATTAATTTATGAATTGATTTCGCCGGGTTGAATTAAAAGCCGCTTGTATTCTGTTATTAGTAGTTACGGTTACTTTTTTTACATGCCCAGATTTATTACGTTTGCAGAACCAGCTTTATCTTTGTCTTCAGTCAAAGAACCATATTGCTCTTATAACGTATCACAGTAAACAAACTTGCGCGCTTATTAAACTTTCTCGGAAATAGAAGGCCAGCAAGCTTACTCAAGATCATTTTTCTGTTCCTCAAGTAATAATAGTCAGGGTTTTTTTATTTTTCATTACATTTTTTTTCCAGTGCACTGTGAAAGTTTCTGTTCTTTATAAGAATACCTTTCTGTACGCAAATGGTCCTTTTCACTCGCTGTGAAGTAGATAACGTCAACTGCCGGCAGTGACTTCAACTACAATTGACTCTTTTCCCGTAAACAATTGCTGCAGCTTGATTTGACTGAGACGAGCAAAACAAACCCTTCTGTACAATCTTCTGTATTTTCTAATGATCGGCTGAGTTTAATTTGCTTAAACGAAGACCCTTGCATGGACCAGTTAAACGTATTGAAAATAGCTAAATGGTGAGTCATGGCTTGGCTGCCAAGTTGCAACTGATCTTTTGCTTTTAAGATCTTTAGGTAGGTTGTTTTCGCACAGAAAATTCATTTCTTCATTGTCAGCAACAATTTTTTGAAATAATGTAACTTTAACTTTGTTTGAAGGAAATCCTTCTTACTTGGAGGTTTTTGACAGATGTTATGCGTGTTCAACTTGACAACACAAAGCAAAATTTATATATCTGTGCGAAACGAGCAAGTTTAAAAAACTATAGTTGCTTTAAAACCTATCTTTCGGAAGATTTTACCAGATAAAGATTGACCTTCCTTCTGCTCACATATCAACGTAATAACTTATACATTGAGGATTTTGTTTATATTTTAGTGATCTACGAAACTACGAGAGCCAGATCGAGCGAGGGTTGTCAAGTAAAATATCTGTTCGAGTGCGACAAAGTTCAGTGTCTTCAAACACATTGTGGGCAAGCGTTAATTTTTTTGGGCAAATCACTGTCCAAAGATATGCTGTTTTTGTGTCCACAGTGGAGCTCCAGACCTTATATATCCAGAAACTTCCTTATATGAGCACATTTTGTGAATGCATCTTGAAAAAAATCGGACCTAAGCATGCACGTTTCCAGTACAACGCAAGGAAATTAATGTCGTTAAAGTCCGTTTTACTATGAGGGATTCTTCGAGAAAATTAAGTAACGACAAGGTTATAACCACAGCTTGCAACTTCTGAAGACAAATTGCCTGTTCTTTCCAGGGTATGAATGGAAACATTTTATTTTTAGGCAAGAAAATATTTGAAATCCCGCCATCAAACCCGGCCAGGGAATCTGGGCAAAAAAGTTCACCCATGCTCATTACGTTTTTCCACCCTGAAATGCAACGTCATTTTCCAGGCTTTCACATAAAACTTGCGACTCGCAATCACTCTGTTCATCCTCCACTTCGGCCAAATTTGCAACAGAATCTTCTGAATTAAAACTTCTCTCAGAACTTGAATCACTTAAAGACATATTCGGTTGAATTTTGGTCGTTTTAGTATCCCGCTTGCTTAAAAGAATTTCCCCTTTCTCGCTGAGTTCGCCGCGGCAGATGTCCTCCTTCGATGACGTCACAACAACATTCGTACCCGCGTAACAGTCCTATTCCTCCTCGGTCAGCAAAGCGAATAAGTGAATCCTCTAGAAGAAACGGACACTAAAAAGGCATTTAGGTGAAAAATAAAAGAAACTCTGTATGCTATGTAACTCCTGAAGTAGGCTATAGAAAAACTGGAGACTGAACTGCTTTTTTCTCAAAGAAGTCAACATTCGTGACTGAAACGCCCCTTCATGTCTCGCCTGAACTTGAAAGGTTGAGCATGAAGGTGGTTCCTTCGTAAGTTAAGAGACCTAAAACTTCTTTAAGAAAGACTTCTATCCAAAAATATGAAATACCTCAAAATTGTCCTTTCCCCTCCCCTTTCCCACGGTGATCGCATTCCATCGTCTTAAAAAATCTCCGCTGATCATTGGAATTGTAGATCGAACAAAGATGAATGGTGACCAGCTACTTCCATTCAGCGAGTCAGAGCTGCGTCTGTTTCTTATATTAATTTCCGCGGTGATAGCTGAAGTATGGATAAATCTTCATCGGCAACGTATAATGTCTTTTACAGAGTGATGGTGTGAAAGGGGATCCAAGTCAAACGTGGCTAAGGAAATGCCGGGAAGAAGACGAAGAAGAAGCCGTGACGAAAAAGGCAATTGAGGAGTTGGAGATTTTCGTTTCATAAATATTTTACAACTTTTTTCTATTTATTTCATTTTTTCAATCACTTTTCAATCATTTCTTTCTATACTTTTTGTTACCCACGACATTTACCTCTACCCACTACCCACGACCCACGACATTTAGCTACACTCGATAGTATGAATACGTTGTATATCCTAGTTGAGGAGACCGAGATTGTACGTCTCCTGGGAGGAACATACCGTAAAATTTCGAAAATAAGCCCCGGGGCTTATATTTTTCAAAAGCCCTTTTTGAGGGGCTTATTTTTGGA